TGAATTATTTCTAATGCACTCGTATCAACAAGACTTCGTTGCTCATCTTCAAGACGTGGTATAACATATTCTATTGGCAACTCATCCTCATCGTTCGAATCACTAGATGTTGGAGACTAAAAATAAAATATATTAATACACTCATTAAAAACCAACGTGCATAAAAGTATCTAATAATAATAAAACCAACTTGTTGAAACATATTCGTAACAATATATATATATATATATATATATATATATATATATATATATATATATATATATATATATTTGCAACTAATCTATCATAACAGGTTTGTCTGCACTTGTTCGGGTCCCATCTTTCGATGTTCTATCTTCTTTCAATTTAAGTTTTAACACCCTTTCTTATTTCTTTCTTAATTTGATAGGTGTCTTTGCTGGTTTATTTTTATGTAACGTCCCAAAAATCATAGGTAAAAATTTCATTTTTAATTCAACCCAAACCATCAAATATTCATATCAAACCATCCAAAAGTATGTCATAGTAAAATAGTCATCAGAGTACAATTCCCAAAATCATAAAAGTGTGGAAAACATGGGTGGATGCGGTGCGATCATGTCGGGTCCTTCCCTTTTGAACTGGAAGTACCTGAAACCATAAACATAAAGCTGTAAGCACAAAGCTTAGTGATATTCCCCAAAATACCCCGTACCATACATACATAACAATCAAAACATAATTTAGTCTATTTCACCACCCTACGGTCTCTTTCAACCGGTATTGGGTCTATTTCACCTCCTTCAGTCTTTTTTAACCGGTAATGAGTCTATTTCACCGCCTTCGGCCTCTTTCAACCGGTATCGGGTCTATTTCACCCCTACAACTAAGCATACAATCATATCAACAAGAGTCACAAAGACAAAAAGCATATACATGCATAACAGTAAGTGTCACAAAGACAATTATCATCCTACACACATAATCCAGTGGGTCGGCATTGGTGCATTCGACCCACGAGTACAGTGAATGAACTCACCTAAATCTGAAGATAGACAAACCATACTTCCGGGTTGCTGCTACTACGGCTCCTCACACTGAATAATCCAAATTAAGCCTAATAAATAATCAGGGTAATAACCCATAAAAGGTCCAGATTATCATCTAACATTCCAAGGGGTAAAAGACCAATTTACCCCTTCCTCTAATGTGCCCCTCAACCCATGGATCAACAATGGCCCAAAACCTAAGGCCCAACAAAGACCCAAGAACCTAAGGCCCAACAAGGACCCAAGAACCTAAGGCCCAAAATGGCCCAAAATACCTAAAGCCCAAAAAGGTTCCTGCTGAGTACACTAAGCGTACCACCTAAGTATGCCCGACGTACAGCTTACACCACTAAGGGAAAACTGGGGCTCAGACGCTTATGCTCAATGTACACTTGTGTACGTCCCGCGTACGCTCCAGATTACCAAAACCTCATTAAGCACTTAATGCTTTAATTCCAATCATCAAATTTGCATGTCTAGCTCTAGGGGAATGTATTAAACGATAAAGTCATCAACTTGATGCCTTTGCATGGATCAAAGAGACCGAACATGCATTTCTAACATTATAACTTCATATTAAGACTATCAACTCATGCATGGTTGAGCTTAACCCATCAAGATGCCATTTTTATGGTTCTACAACTCCAAAAATACCAAGAAATGAACAAAAAAAGTTTTGGAGTAGCTCCTACTCACAAGAACCAAACCAAAGGACCAAAACATGCCAAATATGATCCGAAATCTAGATCTAAGCTAAGGATTCATAAAGTTTAAAACTTTATACCTCCAGAAACTTGCAAAGGTGAAGAGAGTGTTGGATCTTCAAGGTCTAAGAAAACTAATCCTCCTCCAATGAGCTCTTCTTCTTCAAGATGCACCAAACACATATCAAAACACACATAAGGATCAAATCTCTCTAAAAATGGATTAGGGTTTCGAGACAATGCTTTTGGGGAGATAGGGTTGGTAATGAGAGAATCTTGGGGCATAAGGTGCCTAAGTACGCCCAACATACCATATATACACCCAACATACCATATGTACGCCCATCGTACTAAGGGGAAAGTCTCGTGTCCAAGTTTCGCCATGGTACACCCAGCGTACCATGATTACATCCAGCGTACTCGGCCCATGCACAAAGTCAATATCCGCTTAGAATTTGAGGAAATTTACCTGAATACTGGGTGTTCCATTTTATTTTATTTTGTAATTCAACATCTTGGTTATTTATCCTCAAAAACAAAATTCCAAGAATATTTTAATACATTACCGTAAAAATAAATTAAAATTATAAATTTTTGTTTTTCGATTGTACCTTTATCGGACACAATTCCAAAAGCTCATGTAAATGAAATACAACTTCGTCGTCCCTAAAACCCATCTTTTAAAAACATTCATGCAAACTCGTCTTTTGCATTAACACAAGTTATTAAACAATATTTGGAAAAAAAAATGATAAGTATAATTATTCTGGATTGATATCATGTAACATCATTCTGAAATATTCCATCGGGTTCCGGAGCACGTTCTTCGTGTTCTGAACTTACAGTACCATTCTGGAATCCCTACAAAACCTACTTCCGAACTAAAAGTATTGATCTGAAACACACTACAAGATACTTACATGAGATTCATACATGTACAACAAGAAAAACATAAAAAAAAAGGATAATACAGATTCGATCATAGTATTCCGGAGTCGTTCCTCGTATTCCGAACCATTCCGGAATACGTAAATCCATTTATAAAATCAAATGCAAAGTAACTTAAAGAGTAGAATTTACCTGGTTTGACGAATCCATGCTAAAAATTAGGTCCGAAATGCGGGTAAATCGTGCTTCAGATTTGCAAATTAAGGAACGCGTATTCCGGATTTTTGTGTGTGAGACTCATATATATACCATTGGGCTACAGTATTAGGTTTGGACCGGTTTTTCGGGTCCGAAATGACACATTCTGAACTAAGTGGTTAGTTTTAAAAAAATGGTTATTATTATTAAAACACTATTAAAAAGTGGTTAGATTACTTAATTTTCTTAAAAAATAATTTGAAGTCAAAATCAAAATTTTATGATGATTTTGTTGTTATTTGTCCAATTAAAAATTGTTGTTAATAATTGTGAATTTTGAAAAAGAAGGCATTTTAGTTTCTATTAGCTGGTCGGCGAGCGAGGTGAATAACCCTTTAAAATATTTCTCTCTGAAACAAATTTTTGAAAATTTAATTGTGATTATGAAAAAAGCCATTGTGAACTTCAAAATGAATTTGAATTCAATATTTATATGGGATAATGACTTAAAAGGGTAACATATTTTTAGGTTTGTACACATTTAGTTATTGACTTTTTTTGTCCAAATTTTCCCATTGAACTTGTTAAATTGTTCAAAAAACATCCTTATGACCTACTATCGGAGGTTTAGCCTGTTTCCGGCGATCTTGTGAGCTCCGGTGAGACTCCGATCATCTTTTCCGGCGAGTCTCCGACCAAAAACACCAAAAAAGCACATACATAAACAAAAAACACCTAGATTCATGTGTTTTCCTCAAGAAACTCTTCAACCCCTTCAACCCAAATTGAACATCTTCAAGAAAAACTAGATCTGAAAAATGAGTTCATCAAAAATGTTTTTCAGATTTGTGTGTGTTTGTTAGATCTGAACAAAAATTCTCCAACCCTTCAATCAGTATGTATGTGTGGGTTTGTTAGATCAGAAAACACATACACAATCATGTTCATCCCCTCAAATCCTTCGACCCAAAAATCATAAACCCATAAATCCTTCAACCACTTCAACCCAAATCTGACCATCTTCAAGAACAAATAGATTAGAAAAATGAAAACGATGTGTGTGTGTGTTCATCTTCTTTTTTATTTGTGTTCTTGAAGGTCTGATGAGCTTTAAGATGAACTCGAGTTAGGGTTTTCAAACCCACTAATCTGGAAAAATGAAAACGAAGGTTAGGGTTTGTTCATGTGTTCATCGTTCGTGTGTTCATCTAAAGAAAAAAAAACTCTTATGTCTTCGAATCTAGAACAAAATTGAAGAACCCATTCAAGGGTTTGCATAAATTTGTTGTTCACTAGAAGAAAATCGAGCCTCTTTCTTTCTGCTCACAAAAAGAAAATCAAAAATGTGTTTTTGAACATCTTCTTCCTAGATTTCGATTTTGAAAGCATGTGTGAGTTCCTGAACAAAATGATGTGTTCTTGAACAAAAAACGATGTGTGTGTTCATCGTGTTCATCTTCTTCACAGAAATCAAACGATCTCCAGAAGTGTTCGTGTGTATGTGTTCTTGCTCAAACACCAGATCTGGGTTTATTGAAGTGATTTTCAGATCTGTGTGTGTTCTTGCTCGATTTTTGGAACAACATACCTGCACTGATCTGATGTGTATGTGTGTGTTCATCACATATCTTGAGTTCATGAGAAATGGATAAGAAAGAGAGAGGGGAGAATAGAAGCCTTGAATCTGAAATAGATCTGATGTGTATGTATGTGTGTTTATTTTCGTCGGAAAAATCATGAACACCGGAGACTCACCGGAGAAGATGAACGGAACATCGTTGGAGGTGTCAAATACGTCGGAAACCGGCTATACCTCTGATAGCAAGTCATAAGGATGTTATTTAAACAGTTTAACAAGTTTAATGGGAAAATATGGACAAAAAAAAGTCAGCGACTAAATGTGTACGAATCAAAAGCTTTATCCCTATTTATATTTGAGAATTTCTTGTTAAGTTTTTTTTCTTTCTGATTTTTATACCAATTTTATGAATTTAATATAGATTTTGAGCTTCTTTCTTCAAATTTGATGAATCGAACACCTAAATCATGAAGATACGTGCGAAACGATCCATCAAATAGAAACGAGATTCACCTGAACAAGTTTTATACTAACATATAACACAATAAACACAAACATATACCATCAATATACAATTATACATGACCAAGGAGGTAGACACTAGACATTAATTAAGTTTCGCTAGCAAGGTGCGAAACGATCCATCAGCCAAAACACCGTCTCTTCTGATAACGAATCTTCCGTCGCCGGCGACTTCAACAACACTGAAGCAGGTTTTCCCGCCTCAACCAGAGTAAATCCTGATTCCTCTTGTTCTTCGATTCGATCATCAGATTCATTTTGAGATGTTTTAGATCTGATGAAGAAACTATGCTGCTGCTGCTGTTGATGATTTTTCTTCAACCGGATCTTATCGGTAAGCTTCGTCAACTCTCCCATCCATAGATTCACCGCCGTCGACATTTTTGCTTTTTCTCTCGGATTTTTTTTTTTCAAAAATATCTTGATTTTCTTACACGTAAAGTATGATGGATGAATAGAAAAAGGGAATCTATTTATAAAAAGATTAATGGAGAAGAGAAGATATTTCATCGGAGGGAAGGACCCTACGATCATGCCACCCAACGGTCTAGGAAGCGTGTTAGATAGGGACGGTGGCGGTGGTGGCCCATAGTTACGTAGGCGGCCGTAAAATAATGAATAATTTGCAATGCTGACTCTTAATATGATCCTTATTTCTCCATGATTATCGCATGAATTATTCGTTTTCCTATTTTTATTTTATCTTGAAAAATTGACGATTTAGGTAGGCAATCATAGTTGATAAAATCGCATCATGAATTGTACAAGAGAAAATTCTAAAGCAAGATATATATCAAGATCTTTTTGTCTTATTTTACTTATTTAGTTTTTATTTATTCGGGAGGTAAGTTAAAAATTTTATATAGATCAAAAGAATTAATAAATATAAAAAAGCATTTGATTGTGGATGGTAAGTAAGTACAACTTTATTTGATTTAAAAAAATAAACATAAAATTTCAACATAGATTTTGAAATACTTCCTTGAACACAACATTGGAAGTTTTATTAGTCAAATTACCATCTTTATCTAAAATCAATAACTTCAATCATTCTCTGCTCTTTACTCTAGATAAAGCAACGTATAACTGACCGTGTGAGAAAACCGGTTCTCGCAAAAACAACCCAACCCTTTTTAACGATTGGCCCTGACTATTATTTATGGTCATAGCAAAACAAACCGCTAGGGGAAATTGTCTCCTTTTGAACTTATATAGAATTTTGTTGTTTGAAGGTGTTAAAGACAACCTTGAAATAAAAACTCGATGGCCAATGTTACTTCCAGTTAAGACCACTGTTTCTATGATGCGATTACCCAATGACACGAGCTGAAGTCTAGTACCATTACATAACCCATTTTTCTGGTCGATATTTCTTAGTAACATAACCGGAACACCGACCTTTAAAATCAACTTATGGTTTGGCAAACCGGAGATTTTAAGTCTATTTAGAACATCAGGTGAATATAAACTCTCATCAAACTGATTGTGAATAAACTCTGTCTGGCAGATGCTATCTGAACTGAGGTATTCTTTTTCTTCTCCAGGAAACAATGAAAGCAGACGATCATTTATTTCTTGAACAGCTTCATTTTTCGGTGCAAGTATTGATCTTTCTTCAAAATATTTGAGATCGTTCAAGTTGTCAAGAAATGATGGATATACAAACTCAATTAATGAACCTATAGGATCAGAAGATTGAGTAATAAGAAGATTTTTAGGAATACAAATAACTGCATCACCATATTGTTCATTGAATCTGCAAAAAAAGAAAAAAAAAGTTTAATATTTACTGTTCATGACTCAAAACAATGGAAACAATTGTTACAGATATTAAATAATACATAAAAACTCAATTTATTACTCTCGATATTTAAATCACCCAAATAACACTTATCAAGTTGATATGTTTGAATCTATTAATTTACTATAGTTATAAAAAAAATAACAATAACCATAGATGTCAAATTACATATTAATTATATTAAATAATACATTCAAATTCAATGTATTATTTTTGGATATTGAAATCACAGAAATAACATATCTGAAGTTGCCACTGTTTTTTATTTCTTACTTTATGGGTCATACAAACTATTTGAAAATTGAAAATTAACAACGAAGAATTACTAAGAAGCCGAGCCTTGACAAACAAAACACTTTGGCAGGCAAAGAAGAAAGCAACGACGGCAACGAAGATGTAGAGGGTAGCGACGGCGGCCGATTGTGGAATCGGCGACTCACTGCGTGCTAGGCGAATAAAAGGGTAAAAATTTGAAGACTCGATCTGACTTTTGTGGTAAAAATTATCAATTTTGTATCAATAATGACTTTTTTTTCAACCTTAATGACGATTTTGGTTTTGAAAAAGGAATGAATAGATAGTATAGAAGAAAGATACGTGCTCTGATGCTGCAACACGTTTGAAGAAGAGGAATCAAGGTAAAACCTAATTTTTCTTTTTTTGCAGAAGATGCACAAATAATTGTTTGAATAGATTGAAGATTAAGTATTTATTAAACTGTTTAGGTGATTGAACTTGAAAATCGAAATTTGAATTTTCAGTGTTAATGTGCGTAAAATTCAAAATACAACATGTGAAATTTTGGTTTTATATTTGATTTCCCGCTTGGTGTTTTATCATGTAATTTGAAATTAACAAAAATGATGAATTTTTAAAAATAAGTCAGTGTTCATATGACGGGGGTGTATTTTTAATAAAATCAAACGATTATAAAAGGGTATAATAGGAATTTTTATTATATGTTTGTTTGTTAGGGTTAGGATGCATCTTTGTTTGCATTAGGTTGAGAAGAAACTATCACAGTATAATAATTTCAGTGTTAGTTTTCTCTAATTTATGTGCTTATGAGCATTTAGAAATTTCAACTTATTGTGCTTCAATTAGTTCAGTATCATTACACAAGTTTACACAAACACTTTTGTAGTTCACAAATTTCCATACGTATAGCTTTTTCTTGTTAAGGATAGCAAATAAGGTTTTCCTTAGGCTTTAAATATGGGTATCTATGGGAGAATTTCAGTTAGATATAACAATATATCTGTATTAGAAAATCAAAAATGATGATTAATATAAGCACTTATTCCCAAAGGGCAGATCCTTCACTCCTCTAAAATTCAAAAGACAGACCATCTACGCATAGCTGGCATTAAGATGCTATTATATGAAAATAAAAAAATAAAAATCACCAAAATGACCAAAAAAATAACTAAAAAACAAAAGTAGGATGCTATTTTCTGTCCAACACAATCACGAAAATGTCACCCATCTGCCCATATTGCCCTCTAGAAATAAGTCAGTGTTCATCCGAATTGACTGGGTCAATGTCTTTTATGAATGTAATCTTTGAAGTAGTCATATCTGTAAAAAAAATTAGAAAAGTCAATGAAATGAGAATAAATATTGAAAAGACTTGGAATTACAATCAATTTGTAGTTCACTTGAAAAGGGAATTACAACTTCTATTTTCTCTGTCCCCTTAGATTTTTAAAATAGCATATATAATCTATAATAAGTTTACTTGATATATAAAGATGAACAACAAAATTAAAAAAAAAAATCAATTATATAAAAACTGAGAGCCAACAATCAGGAAATTATTAATTAACTGAGTAATGTGATTTCACTAAAAATCACCAAAATGACCAAAAAGGTAAAAATAATCGATTTCAGTAAAAAAAAATTTACCTTATGTTAGGATTAATTAGATAAAGTACATCTAAATGATGTAAAGATAATGGAGTTATTTGTTAGACAAAACAGAAAACAAAAAAGTCAATTAAAGACTAAAATACCCCTGAGACCATTTTCTATCCAACACAGCCATGAAAATGTCACCCATCTGCCCATTTTGCCCTCCAGAAAAAACAAAAGTAAAAAAAAACAAAAAACAAAAGTAGGATGTTATTATATGCAAAAAAAAAAATAATAACAAAAACAAAAAAATAACATAAAATCACCAAAATGACCAAAAAGGTAAAAATTATCGATTTGTTCAATTTATTTTATATTTATAGCTTCAATATCTTCAATTTCTTTTATTGACCAAAACTGGAAAAAAAAAACTCTCCTTTAGACCTTTGAGGGGGTAGTTTTATGACATTCGTTAAAAATGATATCTTAAATTAAAAAAATAACTTATTTGCAAAAATCAATAGAATGGAATTACAGAAAGATCGTTCATTCCAGAACTTTACCAACCTATTTGCAAAAATCAATGAGGGTTTGATTGGAACACCAAAGAAATTTGAGGGTTATTTCCTGTACTTTAAATCGAATTTATACTTTTACACATTTCAATTAACTTGAATCATCCAAAAAGTGGATACTTCGCCCGCTGTTTTTTATTTCTTACTTTATGGGTCAAACAAACTATTTGAAAATTGAAAATTAACAACAAATATGTTTGAATTTTAAGAAAAATAAAAAAGATTAACTACACTGATTATAAACATGCAAAAAAAAGGTTATGTCAACGCCATGAATTCATAAACAACATTCAGGTAATGTTTTAATAACATAAAATTTGACATCCAAAGTAAAAATAAAAGGACCATAGTGGTATTTAGTGCTGGAACTTTCAAAATTAAAGTTGTTACCAAAAAGGTAATTTGTGCATCAAAACACACACATTCAAATACAAAAACAATATCAACATTGTTGATCATTAGCAATCATACTGATCATCAATTTCTTGTTGTTGGGTACACTTTTAGTAACAACCCATCACACTTCAAAGAACATCAAAACACAAATAACGAAAGTAAAAAAAAAAAAAAAAGTCAATAAAAGACTAAAATACCCATGGGACCATTTTCTGTCCAACACAACAATGAAAATCACACTTCAAAGAACATCAAAACACAAATAACGAATAATGATTTCACAACAGATGTTTTTAGCAAACAGAACTGCATTGGTATTAATATATTTTCACAAAAAGATTATAAATTTTGAATTATGAAGATGAACTCACCAGATTTCTTATGTCGACAGTATGCAGAAATCGTAATATTGAAGATGAGAAAGAAGAATTATAATTGATAATGGGAATGGATGTTGAAGACGACAAAGCACAATATAAACGGAGTTAGAATATGATTTTGAAATTCCTGATTTGTTGGGATTCATTTATATCTTGAAAAGAGTTTAAAAAATATAAGATTTGTAGTCAATGAAATTGAACGTAAATTGTTATTGTTTCCAAAAAAACATGGATTTTTAATTTGAATTTTGAAAGTTATATGATCCGAAAATAAGAAAGCTGAAAATAAATCGGGATTTTTTCCTACATTTATGCAAATTTTTAAGTTTTAATTATTTTATAAAATAGGATTAAATGCATTAGATGACACGTGGCAGG